GTGCTGCTTGGCGGTGGACTATATGCATTTATCATCATTAGTTTATCATCCTCATAGCAGATCTCTAGTGCTATTATGTCAACTTCTTGTGGATTGGCAGTCATTATTTCCTTCACCTTTAGGTGTTCTTTTACCAGCACAGCAACGCCACCGCCTTTCCTAATTTTTCTGTCCCGTCTCCAAATTGAGTAGCCCCTTGGGAATATGACCTCATTTAAAATTACATCTTCAAGTTTTGTCTCCGTGAGTGCAACAATGTCTGGTGTCTGCAGCTGTATTACATCACTTAACTCCAGTATCTTCGATCTCACTCCATCTATGTTGGTGTATGCAATCTTCAGGAACTTGTTCCCCCTCTCCTTATTCTTCACTCCCCCTCTCTCTATTGATTTTGTTGGTTTGCCTTTATGTACCACTTTACTGGTTTGCCTACCCCTATCACTTTGTAGAAAAAAGAATTTATTTCTTCTTCATTCCTGCTCTCATTTAAATGTTTTGCCTCGGCGAGGTTCAGTTTCAGCTTCTCTCTATCTTCTTTTGAAAGATCTCGTCTTAACGACCACCCTTTCCCATCCTCATCCCTTTGCAATTTTCTAGCATGTGTGTGTGTGTGTGTGTGTGTGTGTGTGTGTGTGTGTGTGTGTGTGTGTGTGTGTGTGTGTGTGTGTGTGTGTGTGTGTGTGTGTGTGTGTGTGTGGTGTGTGTGTGTGTGTGTGTGTGTGTGTGTGTGTGTGTGTGTGTGTGTGTGTGTGTGTGTGTGTGTGTGTGTGTGTGTGTGTGTGTGTGTGTGTGTGTGTGTGTGTGTGTGTGTGTGTGTGTGTGTGTGTGTGTGTGTGTGTGTGTGTGTGTGTGTGTGTGTGTGTGTGTGTGTGTGTGTGTGTGTGTGTGGTGTGTGTGTGTGTGTGTGTGTGTGTGTGTGTGGTGTGTGTGTGTGTGTGTGTGTGTGTGTGTGTGTGTGTGTGTGTGTGTGTGTGTGTGTGTGTGTGTGTGTGTGTGTGTGTGTGTGTGTGTGTGTGTGTGTGTGTGTGTGTGTGTGTGTGTGTGTGTGTGTGTGTGTGTGTGTGTGTGTGTGTGTGTGTGTGTGTGTGTGTGTGTGTAACCTAAGTGTAGTTACAGGATGAGTACTATGCTTGTGGTATCCTATCTCCCTAGCACTATTATATAACTCTCTGAAACTCTTGACAGTTTTGGCCTCCACCACTGTCTCACTTTACTTGTTCCAACCATTTACCACTGTTTGCAAAAGTGAACATTTTAATGTTTTTTGGCAACCTTGTTTAGTTAGCTTAAATCTATGACCTCTTGTTCTAGAAGTTCCAGGACCCAGATTCACAAAGCAGTTACGAAAGTACTTACGAACGTGCATTTCTTTTTCTCAATCTTTGACGACTTTGGTTACATTTATTAAACAGTTTACAAGCATGAAAACTTCCCAATCAACTGTTGCTATTGTTATAAAGAACCTCCTGGTGCTTCGGAGCTCATTAACTGTTTAATAATTGTAAACGAAGCCGCCAAAGATTGAGAAAAGATGTATAGGTTCGTAAGTGCTTACCTAACTGCTTTATGAACCTGCATCCAGGTCTCAAGAAATCTTCTTTATCAATTTTGTTGATTTCCGTTACTATTTTGTATGTAGTGATCATATCGCCTCATTTTTTCTTCTATCTTCCAGCTTTGGCATATTTAATGCCTCTAACCTCTCCTTGTCTTTCAGTTCCAGAAGCCATTATGTTGTATGTCTGACACCTTTTCTAATTTGATGTTTCTTGATATAGGCACCAAACAACCACTAAACTTTCTCGTGTTTTCTTGGATATTTTTTATATTCTTAGTGAAAGCCACAATGGCACCTAAGAAAGTTAGTGAAATTAAGTAATAAGAGCTAAGCAAAGAGAAATGAGTTAGCACCTTGATTGAGATGAAAAAGAACTCATAGCAAATTATGACTGGTGCCTGCAAGTCTGCTCTTACTACAGAGTTTGGTATGCCTAAATCTAGTTCTCTAATAAAAAAAATGTGCAAAATGAGGGAAGTGTTAAGTGTCTTAAGAGGGAAACAGAAAGACAGGAAAGAGAAGGAACCTCAAATGCACAATTACATGATGGTGTGGGACTCCCATGCCAAATATCTCTCTTCCCCTGCTTCACCACCTTCCACATATGCCATCAACTAATATATTTATTTTTGTGGTCTGGAAAGGATTAATCCAATTTACATTATTCTTTATGGTGAAACAATTATTCGGTACTCTACCTAATCGGCACTCAACCGGCCTTTAGGAACAAATTAAGTTTGAGTATCGAGGTTCCACTGTACTCATTTTGCACAAACGCACCTTGGAACGGTTCATTTAGTGCTTCGCAATTTCTTTATTATTCTCTGTGAATCTGTTCACTTTTTTTTCATTCTCTGGATTTTATCCTTTACATACAGTTTGCTCTTAATGAATTCATGGAAAAGGCCTGGATCCATTGTGCATTTGTCCACTACTCCTTTGTGAAAATTCTTTTCTGTCTCTCTCCTCACTGCTGTGTATTTATTTCTTGCTTGTTTATAGTGCTGGTATGTTTGAGGGTTTGGTCTCTTCCTATATTGTACCCATTTTCTTGTCTTTTCCTCTCTGGCCCTCTCACAATTTCTGTTAAACCAATTCTGTTTTCCGGTTCTACATCTGTTTTGGTATACAGTAATTTTATTTGTGCCTTCATTGTATATTTCCAAGAATTTGGCATACATTTAATTTATTTCTGTAATTACCTAAGTATAGTTACAGGATGACAGCTACGCTCATGGCGCCCCGGCTTCCCAGCACTCTGTCATATAACGCCTTGAAACTACTGATGGTTTTGGCCTGTTTGTGTGGTGGGGGAGTGAATACATTGACAAGTTTGTTCTTATACTGTGTCAAGTAAAAACAAGTCTAGACACTTCACACCCAAGAAGGACCAGAGGAAATCTGGCCATCTCAACTGTACCCCATCTTTAATCACTGATGAAGATGGGCATGTCATTTAGCCAAGCTGGGGAGGCAAAGCCATATAATTTTCAGATGAGGAAAATGTAGATCCAAACAACCAAACTCCTGCTACTCCCCCGTCTCCACCTACTCAACACTTCCACACTTTCTCTTACACTCATGCCCAATGCACATCAAAAACAAAGTGTTTGATATGCAAACATCAAAAAGTCTGATGTTGTGAATAACCATATTTACAGTAATATCTACAGACTCTCAGACCACTAGTTACTGTTTCACACAATAGGCACTGACCCTAAGGGGTAAAGAAAATAAAGAGAATACACAAGGACTCTCAGATTGTACAAAAAAAATACATGCTATGCTCCATATATAATCCAGGCCTTGAGCACAGGAATCATAGATCCAAAACACTGAAACCAGGCCAAGCAGTGCTGAAAATCCAGTCCCTGTCTGCTGATATGAGAGACAATGACAAAGTTTATAAGGTAGCTCAGGAGTGGGAGCCTGGAGCAGTGTGTGGTGGCAGTCAGTACATGCAATCTAAGCAGGAGAACTATAGTCAACAAGAGCCTTTCCTTCGTAGTCACTGGTAATGGCAAGGCAAAGTTTTAAAGTGTTTTTGACCTTTTATGAGTGCAGTGCACAAGTGTCAGTCATTCTAGGCTAAACTGAATGTTTTCCAGTGATTCAAGCACCTGATTTATGATCCTAAAAGGACTACTGTATGTTAGAGTTACCTGTGGTACCTGTACCAGCATATCTTCCTGCCTGACTATGCATGATCTTCTTCTACTGATACAAGAGTATCTCATCTTAGTTTAAAGTTGGCCACTGTTATTCGTTAATAAAGTTATTTGAGTTTAAATTGGATACCGTATAATTAACTTTTTCACAAAAATATAGGGTACGAATGGAAAGACGAAATGATGATCTACAACATTACAGTAAAATTTAGTATGAAGATGCAATACTTACCAAGATATTAACCAACACAAGGTGGTGGCCAAACTTACAGCACTTGCTAAGTGTTTGCATTTACAAATGTAAATCCTGACAATGTTCAGCATTTCACCAGTATAAATATGTATAATATGACCTACTGTATATTATACCATCTTCCTTCAATAATATTAGGCAACATTCCTGTAATAATATAGTTGGTACCTACACATCCAAACTCTGAGCTGACTACTGCCACCAGAAGAGCACCCTCACAGGCTACCAAATGTTCAGTGGCTTATATTGTGGAAACCAATGACTTAAAAACTGATATTTCTGAACATGGTAGCATAGTATCACTATTCGTTGGTGGTGGTTTCACTTTGGTGACACCTTTTTCACCAGAGGTTACAGTAACATATGATTTCTAACCCGTTAACAGGCTTAGAGGTCTTAGTTCTCAAAGATTACCCTAAACCTCATACTACTAGATTAGCCTCAATCACTGTCTGCCAATTAGTTTACAACCAGGTTCTCAATTACTGCTGGGTGAACAGGGCTGAACATTTAAGAGATTTGTGCCCTAGTGTTCTTCATTGCCCAAGACTCAAATCCAGCTGATGTAACTTTTAACTAGCCACTTTGAGCCTGACCATCTGTTCTTATCCCTAACTTTTAATGTGTTCAAAACATTGCTATACTTTACATTTAGAATGTTTCTTTTACCACTACATGGCATTTACTGAAGCATTATGCACAATAAATTCCAAAGTACTGTACTGTGTAAAAAAATTAATTAGTAAAATATGGCTAACAAATCATACACTGTACTTTGTTACTGTGCCATAGTGAATGCAACAAAATCTGTGGCAATTGCATATAAGCAACATACATATACAGGTACTGTACTAATATTTTCATTTCTATCATACCTAACTTACATGATAACCAATGACGTACCATAATTATTAAAAAAGGCTGCTCACATTTACAGAAGTAATTTCTTTAACTACGCATTTAAAATAGACCTATACGTTTAACCTAAACAATAGCACTGTGTGTCATCAGTGTCACACACCTTTTCAAGATTATCAATTTCTTGCTCCCGATCACTCCCCTCTTCCATATCCTCCTCTTCATCTAATGTTCTCTCATCATCATAGTCATCAACTAGCATTTCCGCCGTAGGTTCAAATTCTCCATCTCCGGCATCACTTTCACTACCAGTGGTCCCAGTGCCCTCTTTCTGTTGCTGAAAAAAATTAAATCAAGAAGCATGCCAAAAGAGAGATCAAAATGCTTGTATAAAATCAGTGTTGAATGTAATGAAACGTCATTTTCTGGGCGAGCTCCAGAGGCTCCCTTGAGCTATCAAACTGATATATGCTATATTAGTCTAGAGCTTCGGTCAATTGAGTTCTGCCTACCAGGGACAACTAGCCAGAACATGGCCCCCTCAGAGAGGTGCAGGGAGCAATGGCTCTAGGAAAACCCCCTTTGTAGTTGGGGGGTATTCTATTTGCCACTGACCAGGGTTAGGCACCTAGAAAGTTAGGCATCTCAAACCCCCACTTGGTAGGAAATTGCAAAAAACACAAGATCGAGCAGAGAAACAGAACTCCTCAAAAGAAAAGAGAGGAAACAAGAAACGCCATTCGCCGCCACCGCACCGCTTGTCTGCGCAGCTTCCCCTTCCCCGGACCCTTGCTCCAACAGCCCAAACCTCAGTTTGGAGGCTGAGCATCAAAAACAAAACAAAACTGCCAACTGGAGGGAGGGAGGGAGGGTGCCAGGGAGTCTCCAGGATTTACCCAGAAAATGTCATTTCATTACATTCAACACCAGTTTTCTGTGGGGAGCCCCTTCGGCTCCCTGGAGCTACATAACCAAAGATAAGTAAAAAGGGGACTTACCTAGAAGGCGGCCGCACAGCGTGCCTCAACTCAAAGACGAGACTACTGGCTGCAACCTGCGACCCAGGGCCACACATGAATGACTGGGACCAGCAACATTCACCAAGTAATGGGCGGCCAAGACCCTGTTCGACCTCCAAAACCCCCGTGCCCGAATGGCAGCCCAAGACGTGTTCCCAAACACAGCGGCTAAACCAGCATACTTATGAACAAATCCACAAGGGCCGTGACGAGGATTTGAACTTGCGTCCGGGAGCATCCCAGACGCTGCCTTAATCGACTAATGTTGTAGCTCAGTCAATTAAGGCAGTGTCTGGGATGCTCCCGGACGCAAGTTCGAATCCTCGTCACGGCCCTTTTGGATTTGTTCATTTGATGTATCGTGTTATTGTGATTTCTGTGTGTACTTATGAACATTATGGGCACGAGGGTAGACTGCGGGCTGGCTAGACTTAACAACCCTACGGACGACCTGAGAGACCCGAGCCCTGGAACAGGGAACGAGGGAAATCAGATCAACCCAAAGCACGTCCACTGCCACAGAAGTGGAGGCCCACAGGTAATGGAGCAGAGGCACAATCGGACACAACACATGATGCACCACCCCCGGCCTGACCAACCAAGCATCAATAACCTAAGGGCCCCTCCAGAAGTCCACCATCTTGTTCTTTGCTAGAAATGAAGAAGACAGCTGCAACCAAACAAAACATCCACCAGGACCAAAAGAGCAAAAACCTCTGTACCGGAAGAGAGCATGAAACTCACTGACCCCCAGAGGCCAATGCCAACAGAAACAAAGCTTTCTGAAAGCAACCATGAACCGAAGGGGCCACCACAAACCAAGAAGAAAGAAAAGAGAGCATCCGGTCCAAGGACCGGGACGGCTCAGGCATTGCTCGAGCAGGCCAGAGGCGAAACAAAGCTCGAGAAAGTTTACGGAATGGGGCGGAAGTGACATTCACCATGAACTAAGCTAGAGTGGCTCCGCCAGCGCCACACAATAAGAGGCGACAGTATTAGGCATAAGATGATGGTCCAAAAAGAGCCAAGAAAGAAAGGACAAGGCAACCCGAACAAAAATAGAAGACAACCTACAAAGAGAGAGCAAAAGATGAAAAGGACGCCAAGAGACTTCATACTGTCGCTGAGATAAGACTGCAGGTGGAACACCTCCAATGAAGCCACCTGATCACAAACAAGTGGTTATACACCCATGTCAAAAGGACCAGATGCAAAGAGCGGAGGAGTAGATCGAACCAGCCATGTACCGAACTGGCCCGAGCTGCTGGAAGAGACGGAGCTGCGGAAAACGCCCCAGGTTCGGACACCGAACAAGCAGTGCCTGAAACCAAGCAACGCAACAGCTGCTTGACCCCAAAGATCTTCCGAAGAAGAAAGGGTAACGGGAGAACAAGCGGAGACCCGCATAACCCTGGGTCGAAGGTGTCAGCGACCCCACAAGCAGCATGAAGGAGGCAAAACTGGTGATCATCACCTTGAGACAAGGGCAACGAACAACCTGCAAACTCGCATAAGGTAAGAAGGGACTTGAAGGATGCAGTCACAGGTCAACCAAGCCCCGACGGCTTTTTCCAGGGCCCGCAGGGGGTTTAGTCTGCGGGAAGCCCAGGCACTGGTGCTGCAAAACTGATTGAGCCCAAGGGAACAACAACAAAGAGGAAAAGGGCTAAAAACTGAACCCCAGTGAAGTGTAACAAGAAAAAAAAACTGCAAAAGTACGACGACAACAGGAGGGACAGGAAACACAGCCGCCGCCTGCTCTGCAGCACCAATGCACCCCAACAACACTTCCAACCCAGAGCCAAACAAAGGCCACAAAACCGCAGCTGGCCCAAGGGTGGGGGCAAATCCCGAGCAGCAGGAACCCCAACAGAAGTGAAAGCCCGAAGATCCTAGGGAAGGCAACCCTAGAACCCAAGGGTAGTACAGTACTCACAATGTGCTTAGGTAAGGCAGCACTACCCTACGTTACTCCTGGCTGCTGCACCATAAACAGCAGGAAAACACCACAGGTGCACAAGATCCAGCAAGAAACCGAGGCCAGAGTTGACAACCGCCCCAGAGCGCTTCAGCCAACGAACTGAGGTGTAGACAGATGGCGCGAGGGTCTGGGGCAGAGAGGGGGAGCTGCGCTGACAAGCGGCAGCAAATGACGCTGTGCCGCTGTGACGATGACGACAAAGGAAACAAGCAAATTTGCTTATTTCCTTTCTTTTCTTTTGGGGAGTTCTGTTTCTTTGTTCAGTCTTGGGTTTTTTGCAGTTTCCTACCAAGTGGGGTTTGTTTTGAGATGCCTACCTTTCTGGGTGCCTAACTTCAGTCGATGGCAGATGGAATACCCCAACTACAAAGGGGGGTTTTCCTAGGGTCATTTCTTCCTGTGCCTCTCTAAGGGAGCCATGTTCTGACTAGTGGTGGTACCCGGTAGGCAAAACTCCATTGATTTAAGTCCCAGATTAATATGTTGAATATCAGTCTGATAGCTCCAGGGAGCCGAAGGGGCTCTCCACAGAAAAGGCATTTTACAGTACAGTATACTGTATTTTAAATAAAGAATACAAAATATAGTACAATATATATTTAAATACAGCATTAGCAGATTATGAATGGTCCAAATCATTTCCCAGTTCAAAACAGAAAGAAACAAAAGATTTGTATGCTTTAAATACTGCCAAATTAACCTTTAGACCGCTGTTATATTCTCACATTGATTCACAGGGTAATGCAGTCATCGACATACAATAATTAAAACAATTATTGTCTGGGTTTTACAAGTATGATGTAAATATGGATATAATAGCTTTCTCTGTGGATGTAAATAAACAGAAACAAGTGATAACACAACCAGTGAAACATCCAAGGATAAAACAGAACGTGTCAACAAAGTTGGGCACCGGGTGTTGACGTGTGCAGACACAGCCGCCACACAACTTTCCCGACCGCCTACATCCAGTGAAACGATAATCATTCACTTATTTTTGTGTTTTTCTTACAGTTTGCATACAAATATATAATTCTGTAATGAAAAAAATATCTTTTTGATTTCTTTTTTTTTTTGCTCACAGGTGGGAATGACCATTTGTCAATAGCCGCTGTCTAAAGGTCAAGACCAAATTTTTTGCTCGTAGAAAATTACATTCAGTTGTATCTAATTGTGATCCTTATCAAAAGTATTTTTGAAGGAGTCTTTATTTTGATTATAAAATGACATTCTTATTTTTGCCAGCTTCCTAAAAGCTACCAATGTTAACCTGTATTAGTGTGCCTCTTTATGTTAACAGAGGAATTACATTCACTCCCAGATTCTTACTGGTCTCCTACCTTCCATTCCTATCTTCATTACCTTACACTTGTTAGGATTGCTCTCTAACGACCATTTGTCTGCAATTCTTGAAGTTTATCCAGGTCTTCTTATAGCATTCTACTTTTTTTATTAGTTTTGGGTGTGCAAACATCAACATAGACAAGCTAATATTTGTCCAGGCATCATCAAAACATGATATAATCTCTTATTATTTGGAAATGCATGCCTTGTTGTATCACTAAGGAAAGAATTCATTACCAACTTAGAACCTTTATTGAAGTCCCCAGAGAAAATAACCCCGTCCTCCTTTTCCCTCGTGCAAAGTACCCCCAGCCATAGAATTACTGTACTAACAATTTGAAAAAGCTCATTTGAAAACATCAAAATTAAAGCAGAAATTAGCAGAAAAAGAGAGGAAAAATACCGCAGGTATAATCAGTTATAACCATATTGGACACAACTGCCCTCAGAAACACCACAACAGCATGTGCTCCACAAGACAAACACCCACAGAGCTCCAAGCAACAACAATGATCCCCCAGGAAAATTATACTACAACAGAACCTTTAACTGTTCAAGAATCTGAGGTGCATAAAGCAGCCATGTCTTTTCCACTCAGATCAGTAGATGGCTTCACAGGTTTAAGACCCCAGCACATCATAAGAATAATAAACCCAGCCCTTGGAGATACCACACAGAACCTTCTGGTTGAATGTACAAGACTCTCTAACATGTGTCTAGCTGACGGTGTTCCTTAGGCTATCAAGGCTTCTCTGGGTTTTTTTGGAGCATCCCTCTGTGCTCTAAAAAGGAGGGGGAATCAGGCCCATTGCTGTTGGCAACACCCTCCAACACCACATAGGTAAGGCTGCGGTTCTCTTCGGGGAACATGTACAAGAATGTAACAACTCTTGTATATATCTAAAAAAAAAAAATGAATCGGACTCGTATGAAGGTGTCAAGAGTGAACCCCCCCCCCTCCACTAACAAGCAATCTAAACATCCGGTTCCTGGATAATAGCACTTATGCGAGAAACCTAAATACCCTTATGGAGGATACAAAAAAATCTAGGAACAGGAAGCAAATTCTTAATCAACTCCTATTCTTCACACAATACAAAACATAAGCAACTTATTTATATTTAATTTTATTTTTTTATTTATATACAAAAAAAGGTACATTGGGTTGTGGGGGTACATAACATTGGTGTTTACAGAATACATTCTTGCAAAAACCATCAACATACATAGCGTTTCATAACTTAATGCAAAAATATTTACTAGAATGATTTTTTTAATTGTTAACTAATTTTCAACATTTTAAGCTATAAACAACTCAATATATCTCAACTGAATTAGGGGGAACAGAAAATAACACAATTATATTATCTCAAAAAAAGCAATCTTGAATTAAGACTATGTTCAATGGTTTATGCTTTACAATGCTTGCTCGAAACGCTATGTAATGCTTGCCAGAAACACTATGCATATTAGTTGCTTTACAAGAATATAAAAACATCGATGTTATGTACTCTCATAAATCCAATGTACATATCTGTATATAAATAAATAAATAAATAAATTTACCTATTCCCTGTTCCTATCTTTGGTGAAGAAGCAAAAGATAAGAGAAAACGAGCACAAATGTCTTTGTCCTGCCACACGACTCAAACCCAAGACCTCAGCAACATGTATCTCCTCAGCTAAGCCTATACGGCTTTCTCCTACGAACCAAAAGCTCCCTGTTCACCTGAAGCACACTAGCCAAGATTTTCACATTTTTTAATGGCAAAACACCAATAACAACATAAAGGACCAATCAACACGCCCTTCACTGACAAGGGAAAAGGTATATGGGAGCTGCCTTGCATGTCTGAGGGAGTCAAGCATCCACAGGTGTTTGGACAAATAATATTTTCTCATTATCAGTACAATGGATATTGTTAGGTTAGGCTGTTAGCTTGGGTTGAGTCAAGTTGGGTTGGGTTAGGTTTTTTAAATCTTGGGAATAAACTGACTTCAATCTGGCCAGCAGCCTAGGCCTACTACAGCCTTTCTCTTGTTTGAATGTTGCTATTATAATACTTGGATAGCATAACATAGGTAAGAACAAAACTAGATCTTTAAAATCCTAGTTATGAATGTTGGCAATTCACACATTAAACCAAGCACTTTAAATTCCCGAAAATGTTCTTGTTTACGCAACTTACACTTCTCACCACCATAAAACACCTGCCTTCCCTAGTATGATACACTAATTAAACAAATCGACACCATTTGCAGGTATTTATCTTCACACTAACAAAAAGATACATTTCGTCACGTAGGCCTACAGCGCTGTGGGTCACGTCTCTCGCGCTAAACTAACAATAACGCCAATACATTCAACAGCAGCCAAACACTCGCTCAAAAATATCCATGTTTGGCGGGTGGGTTGAGTTAGGTGGTGCAGTAGACAGGAGTGAGGGAGGGAGAGAGAGCGAGAGAGTTGAGTGAGAGAGAGAGAGAGCGAGAGTGTGGCGTGCAGTGAGCACTTGTCACCAGCAGCGACACAGTCACAGTGCCAGTGCCACCCATACCTCCTCTCCCGTCCTGGCTCCCCCCCGGTCCCACTAGTGTAGGCCTACACCACCTCGCCGCCTCTCTGGCTCGCCCTCCACACTCACTAACCTCTACGCTGGTCTTAGTCACTCCAAATGATAAGAAATCAGGACGCAGCACCCGCCCAGTCAATCGTCAATCAGCTAGCATCACTCATTTTGAAGTTCCGGCATTCTGTTGCCGGGGCTCTTGGGCGGTAAAAGATTGTTGAATAGTTTGTGCAGTGAGTGGCACGCCATGTACCAGAGAACTGGTCCTTTACACTAATTATTCACTTCATCCCTTCAAAACGTGCCGCACTGGTCACGTCCCCCCCACCTCGATCGAGTGTAAACAAAGCCACCTACTGATTTCCATCCATCACATCTACGGTACTGCCATTCATCCATCCTCTTTATCAATTTCAAAAGTGGCTGGAATATAATTTGACTGGCAATTTTTCCTCGTTAATTCACAGTTTCTCCTAAAATTAACAATATCAACAAGAATTGATCAAACTTCACCTCCGCCATGTTGGTTTCTATCGGGGGACGCCAGGTACCCAAACCTTTTGCAAGAAGGTCCCTGATTGGTTAAAAATCACCCGCAGCCAAGTCCTGTTATTTGATTGGATACGTTTTGTTCAATCATAGCTGGGGCGCCAAATATTTGGCGGTTTTTTTAAATTTATTAAGTCCTTCGATTCGTCAAAATATACAAATATCGACTTTTAAAAGTTTGTATTTTATTTACGATTTTAATATTACTATTTTTGTTTTAATTGCTGACTTAATGTAAACAAAATTGTTCAGACAAGGGACCAACACCCACCTCTCAGCTGGAAGAATAAGATCTAACTGATAACTTTAATACGATAATAAATAAGGAACATAAATTTATGTATTAACCCTACAAGTTAGTAACACACTACTGAATTCGCATGTATGACAGGAGAGTATGGTGATTGTTTGGCATGTGAAAGGAAAATTACTCTCAGGCTAGTCATGTATATATATATATATATATATATATATATATATATATATATATATATATATATATATATATATATATATATATATATATATATATATATATATATATATATATATATATATATATATATATATATATGTCGTACCTAGTAGCCAGAACTCACTTCTCAGCCTACTACGCAAGGCCCGATTTGCCTAATAAGCCTAGTTTTCATGAATTAATGTTTTTTAGACTACCTAACCTAACCTAACCTAACGTTTTCGGCTACCTAACCTATAAAGATAGGTTAGGTAGGGTTGGTTAGGTTCGGTCATATATCTACGTTAATTTTAACTCTAATAAAAAAAATTGACCTCATACATAATGAAATGGGTAGCTTTATCATTTAATAAGAAAAAAATTAGAGAAAATATATTAATTCAGTAAAACTTGGCTTATTAGGCAAATCGGGCCCTGCATAGTAGGCTGAGAAGTGAGTTCTGGCTACTAGCCAGAACCTATGTATATATATATATATATATATATATATATATATATATATATATATATATATATATATATATATATATATATTTTATAGAAGGGGTACCACCTCTGGTGCAAGTGTAGGGACCCATAGCCTCGGAGAAGAAAATAAAGAGTACTCAGAGAAGACCTTGTGGATCCTCACTGAACACTTTGATATTTTCTTCTCCTACCACCCCTATTCTTTTGGTATGTGTGTATATTTATCTAACTTTATTTGAAAATGTCATTACACAAAAAAAGTTACAATATTGATTACATGCAGGGTACAAGGCTGCTTGTCACAAGTTGAACAGCTCCTCCAGCTCCTCAGATGGCGGGCAGGAACCATGGATGCAGTGAGCATTTCCTCTCTGGATTGCCACACTAAGGCGCTGAAAAAGAAAACTGGCAGCTCTAGGGTCTCTAGTTGTTTCGATTAGCTTAGACCCCCAACTCCTTCAAAAAGCTAGCAGCACTTTTAACCCAGGCACCAAGTGTCTCTGAGGCAATGGGGACAAAATTGTAGTGGTGCTCAAGGTCTCTGCATTTACGTGACTTGGCCACTTCCCGGTGATTGGCAGCTCCTCCTGCTTGTGTAGCACTGAAGTCAACATAGGTATTGGCTAAAGTTGAAACGCAAGTGTAGTCCTACACCAACTGTCTACCATTCTTCCAGGGGTTCACCGTGATTCCGTCTGGGCGACCGACAGGCTCATCAGAGTTGCGGGACATTAGGTCACGGGGCTCTCTCTCTGCTGGACAACCGGCTGTGGTAAGGCTTCTCTTAATAATGTCATTGACCTCGCCGTGTCTTGCATGCCATCCTCCCGTCCTTTGGCAGAGAAGGCCATGCCGTCCGTATCTGTCGGCCTCTGCCTCGCCGCAAATACACCTGTATTCGGTGTGGATTGGGGCAGCGAGGCGGAGAGCCACGGCAATTCGGAGGGCCTGCGGTGTGAGACAGGTGCCGGTTGCTAACATTGGGGTTGCTAATAGGAAATCACCTGCATGGGGAGCTGCTACAGCTCTAAGTCGGGCAGTGTCATGTGGTGTTGTCGCAGCTTCTTGGTCGGCAATGGGGCGATCCCAGCTGGATTGCATATGGGCTTCAGAAGGCGGTGGTTGGGGTGCTGGTCCTGTGAGAGAGACCCATTTGGTTGTGCAGTCTGTACTCACCTAGTTGTACTCACCTAGTTGTGTTTGCGGGGGTTGAGCTCTGGCTCTTTGGTCCCGCCTCTCAACCGTCAATCAACAGGTGTACAGATTCCTGAGCCTATCGGGCTCTGTCATATCTACACTTGAAACTGTGTATAGAGTGAGCCTCCACCACATCACCCCCTAATGCATTCCATTTGTCAACCACTCTGACACTAAAAAAGTTCTTTCTAATATCTCTGTGGCTCATTTGGGCACTCAGTTTCCACCTGTGTCCCCTTGTGCGTGTTCCCCTTGTGTTAAATAGACTGTCTTTATCTACCCTATCAATCCCCTTCAGAATCTTGAATGTGGTGATCATGTCCCCCCTAACTCTTCTGTCTTCCAGCGAAGTGAGGTTTAATTCCCGTAGTCTCTCCTCGTAGCTCATACCTCTCAGCTCGGGTACTAGTCTGGTGGCAAACCTTTGAACCTTTTCCAGTTTAGTCTTATCCTTGACTAGATATGGACTCCATGTTGGGGCTGCATACTCCAGGATTGGCCTGACATATGTGGTATACAAAGTTCTGAATGATTCTTTACACAAGTTTCTGAATGCCGTTCGTATGTTGGCCAGCCTGGCATATGCCGCTGATGTTATCCGCTTGATATGTGCTGCAGGAGACAGGTCTGGCGTGATATCAACCCCCAAGTCTTTTTCCTTCTCTGACTCCTGAAGAATTTCCTCTCCCAGATGATACCTTGTATCTGGCCTCCTGCTCCCTACACCTATCTTCATTACATTACATTTGGTTGGGTTAAACTCTAACAACCATTGTTAAGTCTGTGAAGCTGGGATCATGTACCCCTGCCTGTTGAACTAGGTGTTCAGGTAGGATTTCCTTCACCAAGTTGTCAGACCCCACTGAAGAGGACAGGAACGCTGGTACAGCAATTTGTGTTGCTGTGTGCACGCCAAGGCCCCCGAGTCTGACAGGAAGGGAGGCCTGTTTCCACTGTGAGTCGCTGAGGGAAAGATTGAGGGCTTTTTCTAGTGTTGATTTCAGCAAGCTATCGTACTCTTCTAATTTCATATTGTTGAAAGATGGTGAGCATCTTAGAAAGTAGGTCAGCCTGGGGAGGGACAAGCATCTGGTGATGAGGTAAAGTGCATCATGAGCATCGATGTCTTCAATCCTCTCGTTCATCCTCTTCAGGTCAGTGATCTTCTTACCAAGGACCCCGTCGATGGCATTCCTTCCAAGAGGAGCACCTAGGAGTGTGCTGTCCTCAGGGTTGGTTGTATGAATGTCAGGCAAAACAACCTTTATTTGCTCTATTATGAGCTGGTTGGTGGAGGTTATTTCGCACTTGGAAGGGTTCAGGGTGAGGCCTAGGCTTGCTCCTTGCTCCTGAATTAATCTTATGTCGTCCAAGAGTGAGGCTGGGGAGCCGGCTAGAGTACCATCGTCCAGAAACCAAATGTTGAGCTCACTGGACAGGTTATTAGTGACTTCCTTTATAACTAGGCAGAAAAGAAAAGGAGCAAGGGGGTCACCCTGTTGGACACCTTCTTGTGATTCAATTTCATGTTCCCCAAAAAGCAGAGTTAGATTCTTGCTGTAGCATGAGTTTACAAACAGGTAGAGGGAAGGAAAAAGGCGATGAACTGCACTGAGTACTGCATCCCTTCTAACCAGATTGAAATATATATATTATTATTAAATATGACCGAAAAAGTAAGATTAATAATTCTAACACGAATTTTCTCAATATTTCTTATGTTTCTTTTCACTGTCGATGGTAATTGAAAAATCAATTCTCCAAAATTCATTTTTATGTCTAGTCTGACACGACGCTTGAACGCGTTTCGTAATAACTTATTACATTTTCAAAGACTTTAGTCAAGAAATCCGGACTCCACCTGCCAAAGATTATTGGGGAATATAAACCTGGGTATGCGTATGGAAATGTCAAGACACACAAGCCTGGAAACCCACTTCGGCCAATCATCAGCCAGATACCCACTCCCACGTACAGACTGGCAAAGTGACTCAACGGCTTGCTGACCCCTTATGTCCCTTGCGCCTTCAGCCTGAAGTCTCCAAAGGAATTTGTTGACTTACTGCGGGGAACACAGGCCGCAGGGATAAGAGCCTCGTTGGACGTAGAATCACTGTTTACCAACGTACCTGTGGATGAAACAATCGGAATGATAGCGGACAGAGTGTATCGTGATCCGGCCTGTACTCCTCTTGACATACCAGAAAACATTCTAAGGAAACTACTCCAAGCTTGTACTAAAGAGGCACCCTTCTTGAGCCCGGATGGGCACA